AGATGGCAATATACGGTGAAAATTCTTATTTGGGTCATATTCCAAGACGTAGGCTAGAATCTGTGAGTGTGAAGTTCAGTAAATATCCACTCTGGTGCGGTGACTGACTGCCACACATACTCTTCAGAACATTAGATTCATCCGCGCTGGAGCCGTGCCGACTCACAACCCACGCAAGCTAGATAATTCCGCAGACAGCTGCAATTCCAGGTTTTCAAACAGAGATGGACGACAAAGAGGCAAAACTTACGGACTGCAGCTTTAACTATTTATGAATTTTTCGGATCATCAGTCATCAAAGCTCGGTAAATATTGGTTACAGACACAGATATTTACTTTAAATTTCACCAAGCTGATTACTCACTAAAAATGACCCACAGAGTGTGTGAGTTGTTTACTTTTTTTAAATTAGTCGTCCCATTAACGCCATTATATTGTTCATTCAGAAGCGGAAAGCGCACAAACACAAAATTTATCGCATGAACCAATCACAGCTGATCATAACCAGTCATATCCAATCATATCCCGATGGAGGCATTGCCTCCTCTCACGTGACTTTCCCCCATTCATTCTCAATTACCCCCACCAAACTCACTGCACGCTTTAGGGGGTCTGTTAAAACTCAATGGGCTCAGGGGAGGCGAGAGAGACACGGACTCCCGTTGTAACTTTATTTGCTGGTGTCGCTGTTGGATGTTTCTTTAGAAAAATTAGTGATTTATATGCGACTGTTCATACGTTCAAATGCCTTTTTGCCCTGCATGAACAAAAAATGGGCCTTTTTGTATGAGATGGATGGATAGAAAAACACAAACATTAATTAATTTCACTTGGTTTGTGAAAGGACATAGCTGAGCAGACTGAGTGCATTTCTTTAGAGATGAATGGAAACGAAAACAGACGTGAAAGAGACAACAGATACAGATATATTGCTACTAAGAGATCCAGAAGTGCTGTGAAGACACACCTGGTATTAGCTCCCTCTACTATGAAGTTTATTCAAACCTTGTATTCGAAGCAGGAGACACAGAGGTAGAGCAGATCCAACAGACGATTGAGCTGAGAGACAGACAGGTCAGTGAACCATTTCTGAAGCACCATCTCATCTGCATTCTTCAGCACCCACAGCAGACAGATGAGCAGACTACGACTGGACTCAGCTGAGAACGAGCCATGCTGACGGGTGGCCTGGAGAACAAGGTGTATAGATTTTAGTGAAGGACTGGGATTCTACTTTTTCAGACATTGCATGATGCATCTTTCTTGTTGTATAACTTTGCTTTGGTCTAACCGTCTCTAACATCAAGTAATCAATTCTTTTCATTCAGAAGAATTACATTTATTATGGCAGCTTAAGTTTTCAAAAATAAAAAGGATGTGCACAAAAAAAAACAACAAAAAAACTGGCTTTACTTTAAATGCGAAGAGTGCCATTACTGTCCCTCTACTGCATGGATTTAAAAACTTTCTTGTCAGATATAAAATATTCTAAAATATTTACTTAAAAATACCCTCAGAGATTAAAAAGTGTTTATGTTTTGGGTGGGAAAAAAACTACCATAAATGTATATGTATGTAATGTAATATAGCAATGTATATACATGTAAAATAATAATAATAATAAAATAACTTATATTAGTTGATAGAAGAAAGTAAAAGTAAAAATAAATAAATAAATAAATACACAATGCATCCAAACAGTGAGGTCACAATACCTGTGGATTGAGCAGAAAACTACTAGGCCGTGACATCTGTGGCACAGAGGTCCCTGCAATTGCCATGGCAACAGTCTGGCTAATCATACTGTTGCCCTCAGCTTCCTGCTCCTCGGTACCTGGACCACCAGGACGACCCCACTGATTATGGGATTCTGTGATGGTAAAAGAAAGGTTAAAACGTCTAAAGAAAGTGTTGTTGGTGAATGTTGTTATTACATGACATATTTACAATACAGCATGAGCCGGATACAAAAATCTATTAACATACCGGTGAAATCATGGAGCTGGGGAAGGGTTTCCATCACAATGCCTATGAGTGGTAGGTAGAGCAGGGCAACTCTAGCTTTGACCTCAGGGTCAGCATAACGTGGGTCTGAGTCATGACTGGACAGCAGATTATGAACCACGCTGATGACCTTCTTATGAAGACCAAACATCCTATAGCAAGAGCAGAATAAATATAGAAGAGCTGAGTAAAATTAAATATTTGACAGATGTTATAAATAATTAAAATACTTAATTTAAATTATGAATTATATAATAATAATAAAAAAATAATATACAAAAATAAAATAATAATATACATAATTGTAAATATAATTATAGTTATATAATTGTTTATTATAGTTATCAATTATTGTTTTTAATATATATATATATATATATATACAATTTTTAATTTTTTTTATAGTTACACAATTGTAGTTTTGAATGGAGTTAAGAATGGAAATAGGGCACACACCAGGGTACTGACCTTATATATTGTTATACATTGTTTTATATATATATATATATATGTATGAGTGTGTGTTTGTGATTATATATATATATATATATATATATATATACATACATACATGCATACACACACATTTTTTTTTTTTTATATATTAAAATAGCAAAAGTTTTAAAATTGTAGTTCTTGAAGAGTTAAGAATGGAAATAGGGCACACACCAGGGTACTGACCCGTCAGCCTCAGGGTCGAGTATTACAGCCAGCTCTGTCAGAACCAGACCAGCAAGGTAATGCTGCTCTCTGAAGGGCACAGACAGCTCAAACATGTTGGCAATCTTTTGGTCCTGCACTTGGGTAGAGAAACCAGAACTCTGGTGGGAGACAACGAGAAAGAAAAACAAAAAGAATAGGAGGAAGGTTTTTATAACTATCAATTTTGGTGTAATTTAGAGTTTATTACAGTTAACCTTTCTCAGATAGTGTTTATACCTGAGATGTGGCAGAGGAGACCGAAGGAGAGGGGGAGGCTGGGGGTGTAAGTAGACTGAAGGGCAGGTTTAGAGTGACGTAGTGTTCATGGCTACAGGCGATCCTCAGGAAGTCTAGTCTCAGAGACTCTAGAGTGGGGTTCTGTAGTGCATAGAGCTTGGTGGACACCTGGGAATAGAAGGAATAGAAGATCATCAGAAAAGACAGTGTGTAAAAAGCATAACATGTTTGGAGCTGAATTGTAAGGTACCTGTTTCCAGTAGGTTTTGATGAGAGAGAAGACAAAGCCTCTATCCATGACTGACAGGAGGTCATTGAGGAAGAAGGCCAAGCTGGTGTTGAGCCTTTCCACCAATTCAAGATCCTAAAGACAATAAAGTAAGTGAGAAACAGCAAACTCACCACTTCAAAAGCTTAAAATAATTAGAATAAACAGACATACTGGACATGCTTTTTTTCTTGACTGATCATATGCAAGAATTAACCACTGACCTAACATACATATAATTATGCAAAATAAATAGTTTGTAACAATAGCAAAGTCTTTATTATCAATTTTTATTGATTGAACATATCCTTGCGGAATAAAAGTATGAATTTCTTTTTAAAAAAAAAAAGTATGGACCCCAAACTTTTCAATGGTAGTGTACATCGTTACAAAAGAATAGTTCTATTTTGAACAAATGCTGTTCTTTTTAACTTTTTATTCATTAAAGAATCCTGAAAAAAGTATCACATGTTCCAAAAAATATTAAGCAGCCCAACTGTTCCCAACACTGATAATAAATCAGCATATTAGAATGATTTTTGAAGGATCATGTAACACTGTGCAAACTGTAGTAATGGCTGATAAAAATGCAGCTTTTCCACCACAGGAATACATTTTATTTTAAAGTTATATTAAAATAGAAACCGTTATTTTAAATTGTAATACTATTTCACAATATTACAGTTTTGACAGTATTTTCGATCAAATAAATGCAGCCTTGATGAGCAGAAAAGACTTCTTAAAAAAAATTTAAAAAAATATGACACATTTTACTGATCCCAAACTTTATATATATAATGTCAATGTTGCTGCACATATGATATTTGTAATATAATAATGATATTATGTAAAACAAAATAAAAGTTGACAAAATAACAAATAAACAAACAAAAACTTCAATTCATTCATGTAGTTTTCTCACCTTCTGGAAACGTGAGACGATGTCACCTGCAATGGTGCTAACCAGAGCGGTGATATCATCCATGAAGCGCTCAGGGAAGCGGTTCTTCCTGGGAGACTGCAGGCGGTCAGTAAAGTACAAGTGGTGAATGATGCTCTTAACCTGAAAAGAGAAAGAACATATTTTTTCTCTCACAACCTCAAAAACAGATGCTACACTTTTTTTCATAAAGGAGGAATCATGGAGATTTATGATTGTGGTAGTCCTTACCATAAGCTCAAAGAAGAACCAGGCCTGTTGCAGGGCTCCCTCTCTCACGCTGCCACTGCTGACCACCCACTGCAGGGCAAGCTCCTCATGAAAGAGCTGAGAACAGGAAGGAACCATCAAAGAACCATTCACCATCAAATACACTGCACATAGGTCAGTATGTCTTAGTTCTACTATGGGATATGATACGTGACATAAGGCCCACTGTGTTGCTGCAAGAGTGGGGAGGATTCATTATTCTACGGATCTAACATTGAACACAGATAAACATCCCATTCGTACCCATTACCGGGCCAAGACCAACTGGGTGCTCTACACCACAAGTGACACATCATTCCCTCTTCAGGTGCATTCATAGTAAAGCGGTGCCAGTCATTCATAGTAAAGAGAAATACAGATACTCAGAGTCCACAAGAAAATGACAACCACAGCAACAAAACAACATCAACAACAACATCCAGTCATTCCAAGACAGACAGGCGCAAGTGAGGCAAGGAGGGGGTCGGCTCCTGCCCTCAGGGAATTGTGTCTCTACCTTTTTGGTTGGCAAGCGTCCTGTTAATGTTTGCAAGAAACTGGCGCTCTCAGTGTGCGATGACATGCGATTGCCACTGCGCTCCATGGCCTACAGGTGGGGATGAATGGAAGGGTGACAATAGATTAGTGTGGAGGACAGGAGTATGTGGTGCCATTCACTACCAATATCTACACACACACACACACACACACACACACCTTCAACCCCCACACACAAAAACACAATACAGAACAGGACTGCACAAACTGTAATATCATAATAGATAAATAATTTAAAAAATGCAATTACTTTTTAATTAAACAATTAGTTTCCATCAGACAAATAGCCATTCTGAATGACATAGTCTACTCAATAAGGAGACTGAAGAGAAAAAGTGTTTTGGTATGATGCTGAATAAATAAATAAATAAATATGCATGTATGCTTTAATGAATCAGACTATTACAAGCACTGAGTAATGAGAAAAGAAAATGATTAGCCTTAATCAGGTGCTGGTTATTAAAATAAATACAAACAAACAGACAAACAAAATATTCACACACGCATATATGTACATGCAGCATATCATAACATGCCAGGCAGAGAGAAAATGGAAATTGTTAGTTATGGCCATGCAATGCCTTTTAGAGAGAAATGTTGAATAAGAGAAATGAGGTGGCTTTGGAAAAGACTGTTTAAGAAGAGTGAATGGGGTTGAGGAAGTAAAGAAAAAAAAAAGGAAAATGGAAGAGGGAAAGTAGTGTGCCATGGAGTTACTAGATATTCCTGTTAGTGCTACTGGGAACGGCTGTGTGAAATGGGGGATTCTGCTTTGAATTTGGGGGTTGGGATAGTCAAAATGACCTGCTTAGCATCAGATGATGAGCCAGGGCTGGTCCCCCAGGGGGCGCTTTTGCACCCCATGGTATGCACCCAGGAGTTGGAGCGATCTAAGCCCTGCAAGCCAAGGGTGGCGTCAGAAGGATCACGGGCAGACGCAAGCAAGCCAGGGAACAGTGAAAGGTCAAAAGTTACAGGTAAATGAGAAAGTGAGCAAGGGAGCAAGTTAGTTTATATTAATTTCTCATCTTTGAACAGCAACAGGTTAGATCATGAAGCATCTTTAAGTGGTAACGAAATCAAAGGCTTAGTTTGGCACGGTTAGCACAGAGAACACATGATGTGAAATCAGGCTGATTCATTCATTGCAATGGGGGAAAAAGGATCACTGGTTTGCACCAACAATTCTTAAGTGTACCTCAAATAAAGCATCTTTAAACATCTTCAGAGCATTTGGTACATTATAAAATTCCTGTCTACTACATCATCTACACTACCTTTTACAAGTTTGGGGTCAACAAGATTTTTCTGAAATTAATATTTTTATTCAATAGAGATACACTTAATTTGTTAAAAGTGGCAGTAAGGACTGTTACATTGTTACTATA